TCCCCCATGGGTCTCAGGCTGAGAGACAACGGGTGTGTATCATTAGGTCAGACATGCATCACTATATACTTGACATTGCATTACATTGTCTTGCACATCTTTTTCATTGGTGAACTTGATCTTGTGTGTGCTGATCTTGCGAGTGCCTTCTGTGGAACTTGTGATTAATGAATATTGAGCTTGTTGTTGAGAATATGTAATTGTTAGATTGTTGTTGTTGAGTTGTGGGCTATGTAAATTGTGAACTGTTAGATTGGACTGGTTTTTATGCAGGTTGTAGTTGTAGAGGTTTGGTTGGGATATAAGGAGTATCCATATTCTATTCCCTTAGCTTGTGTTTAGAAGTTTACTTGCTGAGTACCGTATGGTTTGGTACTTAGCCCTTGCTCCAACATTTTTGTAGGTTACGAGTCCGGATCTTCGTGATACTTTCTATTCTCTTCTTTCCCGAGGCTTCCTGTAGAGATTTGTGAGGTAGTTTTTTGTCATCTCAGCTGACCTTCTTACTCCTATTTATGATCTTGTTCTATTCTAAAAACAATGTCATTTGAGACTTGTATATTTCTTTCGAATCAATTGTAATACTTTAGAGGGTTGTACATGTGACTACCCGGTTTTGGAGTTTTATTTTGAGTTGATTATGACTTCCGCATTATTAAATGGTGTTAGACCCTTTTTCTTGTTTTACTTCCGCATTCACCGTATTAGTTGGGTTTTAGGCTCTTGGTGGGATAAGACGAGTGTCATCACGTCTATTTTTGGATCGTGACAAAATAAAGCTAAAAAGGTATCAAGAAAACATACAAAAAAATAAAGGAGAAAGTAATACAATACAAACATCATTTTTACAACTTCCATTATCAAAAAAATAAGAATTCAATAAATCAATTCATCAATTCATAATTTCGTTATCGATATTCATTTCACAAGCCGATCTCTGTGGAAGAGTCTTCTTCTTCAAGATTAAAACATGAAAATAGTATTACATGAAATATATACATATATATATATATATATATATTTCTACTTCAAACATAAAATAATAGAATGATCTTGGAAGGAGACTTGTGAAACAAAAAAATATGAATTTATATAAATAAAATGAAGGAATACCTTGAGGTGTTTTAAATTTTAAATTAAATATTTAGGATTTTTGAACATGAAAAGTATGGTATGGGTTATGAATATTATTAAGAGTAAAAATGGAATAAATGAGTTGTGAATTTAAGACCTATAATAAAGGAAATAAAGGAGGAATAAAATAGTGTTTAATGTCTATAGTTATATAAAAACTATTTCATGAAAAAGAATATCAACCTCTGTTGTTTAAATAAATATCAAGAGATAGTTTTAGATTTTCTAATAAATTATACATAGAAAAAATTAAGAAAAATGTCAAAAATTTGAATAAAAAGATGAATGGAATTGTAATTTTTTAAATAATCATACTAATTTATTGTGTATAAGTTATTATATTAATTATTATATTTATTAATGAAGAGTTGAGAAGTCACTCCAAATTCCAATCATGTATTTTGCTTTCTTAATTACATTCAATTATTCTACTTTAATTAAGAAAACAGGGGAGATTAAAGAAAAATGTCAATAAAGATAAATGGTGCCGCAAAGGCATATCCAGAATTTTGACAAGATGGGTGCACAGTTACGAAAAAATACAGTCTTAAATATAAATTTGATCGGTTTGACTTTTAGGTTCTTAATATGAACCATTAAATTTTAAAAGTTATAGGTCCAAAATATATAATCCTACTAGTTTTAAATTTTAATATACACATTTGATTTAATTATATAAAAAAATTACAGTACTAATTTTTTAGGGATTTTCAATGTAACACACTTAAATATTTTGAAAGCTTAAAGGAAAAAAACCAAAAGAAAAATTAATTGAAATGCCAGAAGTGTAACAGATAACCATTTGGAGAGGTGTCACCAAAAAAAAACAAGATAGATATAAGATTTAAATATCTATCCTCACTTAGAGAGGTGCACCCAATCATCATGGTATTATTATATGATATTTTGAACGTGGGTTCACACATCTTTATTTAAATATATTTTAAAAAATATAACATTACTATATATGATCTAGAGAGGGGAACATAGGTTCACGTGAACTCATGACACCCCCTCTAGATACACCCCTAAATGGTGGCCTTAGAGAGGTCTCATATCATCTTGTCTACATTTGACTTTATATTATCTATGGAAAAGGACCTAAAATATCCTCAAACTATTGGAAATGATACAAACTATCCTTCATCCACCTATTGGCTTCCAAATATCCCTTTCATCCACATATTGGTTCCCAAATACCCTTTCATCCACCTTTGGATTCAATATAGACCGCTTATATAGCGAATTATCATTTAAATATTTTTTTTCAAATACGTGACTATCATCTATATATTGGTTACAATTTAATTACTTAAATTAATTTACAAACTCCCCCAATTACCAAATATACCCAACTCAAATTGACTATATCCGACTCAAGTTAACTATACCCAACCCAAATTAACTACACCCACCCCAAATTACATTTACCCCACCGATTAAAACAAAACAGTGAAACATCCTTCATTCCCAACATTTCACTTCCTCTTCCAACCTTCTTCCCCAATATATTCGCTTACAATCTCGAAAAACACTAATCAATTTAGGTAGTGTTTTTTGAGATTGTAAGTGAATACATTGGGGAAGAAGGTTGAAAGAGGAAGTAAAATGTTTGGAATGAAGAGTGTATTTGTTTTAATCGGTGGGGTAAATGTAATTTGGGGGGGGGTGGGGTGTAATTAATTAATTTGGATTGGATATAATTAATAATGGGTGAGTTTGTAAATTAATTTAAGTAATTAAATTGTATCCAATAGATGGTCACTACATATTTAAAAAAATTATTTAAATGATAATATGTTATAAAAGTAGTCAATATTGGACTCAAAGATAAATGACAAGGGTATTTGGGAGCCAATAGGTGGATGGAGGGTAATTTTGTACCGTTTCCAATAGTTCAAGGATATTTTAGGCTCTTCCGTATTATATATATATATTCATTTTAATTTTTTTATTCTAAAAATATATTTTTCCTTTTAATATATCAAGTAATTAATTATTATCCAAATTATATTTTAAGACCTAAGATTATATATCAATTAATATGACTATTATAGTAAAATGTCTATATTAATTATTATTTTTAAATGAACGGATAAAATATAAAGTGGACAAATAAATACAAACGAACAGAGTAATAAAAAGTTGAGGTGTAAAGAAGCTTAGCATCAGTAACCTAGATTTTAGCATAATTGTTAGGGGGAACAAGAATACTAATGACTAATGAGGCACTCAACCAAAAAAAGTCCAAACAACATTTGACCATGGTTTTATGGTGTGGATTTATTTTTATGGGTCAGTATTCAAAATAATACAGAGACCATTAATTCATCAATAAAACGAGTAGTATCTATTTTCTCGGTTTATCGCTAATAAGAAATAATTCCCAACCCTACATTTACATACTCAATCAACCTACTATATAATATAAATGAGCATCAAATCTCAAATTCTTGACAATAAAATCAAGCAAAAGCAGAAACTTTTTTTTTTTTTTGCCTACAAGTTTTCGGTTCCACCAAAAAAAAAGGAAAAAAAATACTGCATGGCAAGGGGATATATTCATAATGTTATAGAAATTGCACCAGCACGATTTATTTGTCCTCGAAGGCTTTCAAATGCTCCAAAACTAGAGACAATTGCAGAAGAAGAATATAAAAGTGGTCAACTTCTTATTGACAAGAAAGTTTTATATGTTGTTTTACTTTCTGTTATTGCTTACACATTCATCAACACATACACTATGGTCTAATTATAGGAGAAACATTAATTTTGAAACTCAATTTTAATTATCAATCATCATTACATAAGGAGATCCATTTTTGTTCTAAATGCATTGTGTATGTCAATATATTTCATTTTATGTTAAAAGTATAAAGTTATAATGTACTAAACTATTTCATTCTCATAACTATTTTCTTTTTGGAGGTATATGTAACATTCCTTAATGAATTAGAAAGGAAATAGTACTAATTATTGGACACTAAATATTCAAAATAGACCTCTTTAACACCAACAATAGACTCTTCATAAATGGACTAATACAAAACAATATATGCTACATAACTTATCACCATAAAGTTAACTGACTAACAAATCAAGTCAATTGGCCAATTGTAGGAATTGTTTACACTTGTATAATCTACTTTTTTTCCTCTGAAAAAATTCTGATGACTTTCGTTTATGTACGGGGACTAGGTACTGTTCTGGAAATCCATCTGCACAGATAACATACATTCTATGGTGTTATCAAATAACGAAGGACTTAGGTATGCAAACATTATAAGATTCCACCATGAAACTACTTTCAGAAACCATTCAATAACATAAAACATAACATCAGGGGTGCTTGGTACGAACGAAAAGGTTTTCCATGAAAAAAAGAATCCTTGGAAAATGAGTGATTTCTTATTTATTTTCTAGTGTTTGGTGAGTAATTAGCAAAAAATATTGTCCCAGGATCATCTAGGAAAACCATATGGCAGGTAGGTTTAGGATGGGGGTGGCGAGGGTGGTAGAGAAGTTGGGTTGGAGGGTGATGAAGAGACAATTAGCACGGAATGGCACTTATAGAACTTGCTTTTCCTACTCTCACCAAAGAGGTCATTTATCTATTATTTTTTGAAGAATTTGTTTTCCTAGAAAGAGTATTTTCCGGAACATTTCACCAACCAAAAAACTCCGATATCTTTGGATTCACTACCATAAGAAGGATTTAGTCATTCAAGCAAACATCAAACCTTCAAAGATTGCAGAAACTCATAATCACGTACCATTTGATTTTATCAACCTATACTTCACTGACCATCTAGCATGTGAATAGCAAAAGAAGATAATTATCTGATTAATCTTGCAAATACATACACTAAATAGCTAGTTAGCTAACTTTTACACGCTTAGCCAACAGTAGCTAGGGATTTTGCTAAAGCATTTCAAAGATACACATAGGTATTAGCATGCCAGAACAAGTAACTGAAATGATATACCAATTGTTTGGGTTTATGATTCCAACACCCAACCATAGAATTTATGAACAAAATGCAACCACTTAGAAGATATTCTGTTGTTCTCATTAATAAACTTCACTTACTTCATGAAGCCAAATTTGTAATTTAGCAATAGTCATGCCTTCTAGTTTGACATGCCTTTCCAGTTCCAAGATAAATTTGTATCCCCATAAGACCTGCATAAAAGGGAGCTTAAAATCAAAGTCCTGACATGCTGAAAAGGCTGAACAACAATGACTTCAATGGGATTTATAACCTTGAAGAATAAACAGCCATCACAAGGTTAACAAATGAGCAAATGTTACATCAAAATATACTAATCATTTGAGGTGAGGCAGATTTAAAACCATCTTGATGATATGGAACGAAAAAAACTAAAAACTAGCAATATGTCAAGTTGTCAGCAACTCTTACTTATCCAGAGGGAACTAAACACAACAGTTAAGAAACCCTATCAACAAGTCACCCACTCTAATAGAAAGAAATTCCTTTCCTAGTCTCCCTTCAGCCAATACTTATTATCCTTGCAATTTTCTATCTTCCACTGCTAAAACCACCTGCAAACTTGTGTCAGTTTGCAGGGCTGAGCCACTCAGCAAGCAATATTCTTTTGTTGAGCTGGGACTATTAAATTGGCAGCCCCTCTCCAGCACAGTGTAATTGTTTGGTTCTTCACGGGTGACCAATAATTACATCAATGGAAAGTTTTGTTTGTTGTTACAGGAGACATATTTTAATGAGCTTCAAGTTTACTAATCGTATCAGCCTAATCAATAGTTGGTACTGAAAATCCTATAGAAGTATTCAGGTAACAAAACAAAGCTACCACAGAATTCAGATTGGGTCTGGTCTTGTTCTCTGCCAGACCAAGTTTATCACTCCAATATTATTTATACACGTGCAAATTCAATTGGCAACCGCATATGGTTTTTGCACAAGTAGAAATTTCTACCAGTCAAAAGTTTTGGCAAAAAATGAAAGCATAGAACAACCCCTCCTCCCCCCTCCCCCCACACACACACACAAAAAAAAAAAAGGTAAACCATCATGCAGCACATGAAAATTGCTTAAACCATACTATTATGGATCCCTACAGCAGAACTCCAGCTTTTAAGTTGGTGGAGTACAGAAAGCTTCAAAATTATAATTATTAATCAGGCGTGCCGAGCAAAAGTCAAGGCCTTAGAAAGGCTACCAATCTGCATGAAGATTTGAAGAACTCATAATGAGGGTTGTTGAACCATATAATCTGCTATGGAAATTTAAACTGTCATAAACATCTTTTAACCCTCTAAAGATGAACATCCATCTGCTTCAGTGGAGGATCAACAGTTCACCGGAAGATGAGTTTTGGACAAAACATATCAGAAAGTATACCCACTTAAAACTTCAGCTCTGGTTCTAGATTTTCAATCATCAACGTGTTGGTTCTGAACACTGGTCATAATATTGCAACCCACTGCAAATACTCACCCCCCACCCCCACCTAAAATATACAATTATGATTCAAAGTTTTGGGTGAAACCGCGATGCATCAGCCATAAGTATTTTTTTTTTCATTTTATGAATTCCAACAGTTAGGTAGAAAGTTGGATAATATGTCATCTTGCATTTCTGATATTATTGGCATAAGGGTAGCCGAGTAAGTTACCTATAACTTTATATGAACATATTATAATATGCAGAATAGAATCCTAAAAAAGGATTCATCTTGAAGATTATTATACTTGATTTTAGCTCCAAGCTCCTTTCCAAAAGGTCGGTGATGTTACAACTGGTTGTTGTTGAACTTAATCTCTCTTTGGACTTATAGTAACTTAATAGTCACTATTCTGAAATGATGTGTATGATTGATTTTTATTTATTGCAATTGATATCGCAAGCACATTTTAAGTAAACATTAGGTTTGCTACTAGTTGAAAGCTAACTTAAAACATTAAATTCAAAGAGAACAATACAATACAAGTCTTTCCCTCTCAATCACTTTACATCCTTAAAACCTTTACTGAACCCTTTTCAGTTAGTTAATTAATGATATGCTCAACTACCAGAAAGGTACGCCGGTCGCATTTTGTGTGACACACTTTCCTTTTAAGTCTATTCAAAAAAAATTTGAATACCTATCTCTTTTTCGGAAATTATTTATAGTATCTCCATTTTACCCTTAGGGGTCGTTTGGTACAAAGATATAACACATGGATTAGTAATGCAAGGATTATTATTGCATGCATTAGTAATGCATGATTTATTTTCTTATCAAGTGTTTGGATCATTGTTTGGATCATAATCTTGTGTTTGGATTAGAACTCTACAAAAAGCTTCTTTTCAATTATACCCTTAAATACTATGGGATTTTCTATTTTATGTAATTGGGTCAAGGTAGATAACCCCGGACAATATTATTTTTTTGTGGCCTTCTAACTAGCTAGGAGAAAAACAATTTTGTTGTCATGTTTGCTATTTTCTCACTTGAATTATTTGAGGGTAAATAATTGTCATCTTAATAAATTGATCACTTACAAAACATCAATTTTCAATTTTAAAAAGATAGACGATCTACTTTTAAAACCAAAAAGACGGTAAACGATAGTAAAATCGAATAAACATCTATGTTTACACATAAAATTGCAAGTTGTAGTTTTAATAAGTATGTAATTTTATAAATTGCTCAAAATACAAATAATTAGAAAATCACATATATATCAACAAATAATACATTCAGTTAAGATCACAAACGTCATGTGGTGATATATTTGCCTTTTCAATTATCAATTATTAAGCAACTCACATTTCAAATATTGTATTGATTTGTATTGGATTTATTTAGCAACAAACAACCCTCTCTAACTAATAAAATTTGTAAGCTAATTTATTTAAATAAATGTACTAGTATAAATATAAAACATGAAATCAAGAAAATAACAAAATAATTAAAAGGATTTGAGTGGAATTTTGTCTTTACATGGATAAATCCTATGTATTACTAATACCACCAAATGGAAGGTATTAGTTATACATCCTATAATACCATAGGCCCAAAATTACTACCAAACATAGTATTAATTAATACCATACATAATACATGGACTATTTCTCCTAATAATCCCTACCAAATGACCCCTTAGTGACATGACTTGGTGAGATTCACTTGATATAAAATTTATTCTTTTGTAAGGATAGAGAAATGAAAATGCATGTGGAAATCTCACCACCACTCCTTAAAGGATAATTTTGATATTTTGCATATATTGGCTAACATGTTAAAAGATTTCTTTAATTTTTCTTACTTCGGCCACAATAAAACACGTAAACATAAAATGGAACAGAGGTGTGGTCAATTATTTTCTCCTGGGTTGATCAGGGACCAACTACGAAATGTTACTGCAATTCTTCAACTAGTCTATGATTCATACGGGAAGAAAGCGGAGAATTAGTAACTGTTTGTGATGCTAATAGAACCTTGTCCGCAAAAACATGGTGGAATTTATAACACAACTAAGTTCTTCAGTTTTTCGTATCTTTCTGTAAGTTTGGGGTGGACAGTCATATCTATCTAGTAGAAAAAGGCTGGAAGGCACTAGGAACTATACTAAGAAGCACCTGCTATGAGAAGCCAAAATGTCCACCTGGTCGGACTGTTGGGTCAATAGGATTTTGTGTTTTTGCATGAGTAGATACTTGGGTATCAACATGCCTGCTTCAACATGTCAACAGAGGGTATTTTCGTCATTTTAATTATTGACCCTAACTTTATTTTCTTCACGTGTTGTCCAACCACCGCATCAATGTACGTGGCTTTCATGCCGCTTCATCTATTTGCTATGATCCTTCAAACTTTCTTCATCTTCCTGTGTTTTTCTTTAGTTTCTCAAAATGTTGCTGGACTTTCAAGGTACTCCTAATGTTTAATTTTTTGCTTTGCTCTTCGTATTTTCTTCTTATCAGTTCTTATTTGCAAACAGACAAATATAACCAAAAAAGTTGGTTTAACTAGTACAACTGGCATCCTGTTTTGCATTATGATAGATCTATCATAATGCAAAACAGCATTCTCTGAAGTTTTGTCTGCTTAAATGGTCTAGAGGAAAAGACAGGATATATTTATATTGCCTGCAGGGAAGGGGCAGGAAGGGTGCCTTCACTGTACAGCATGAAGCATATATGAGTAAAGAACAGAATTTTGGCACATGTAAAACGGTGTCATGAAGAACTAATTTGTATATTGAAGGTTTACCTTGGATTTTTCACATGAAGTAACAAGAAGACAAAAGCGAGGAAGATAAATGAGGAACCGACAGCGACATAGGACATCCCAAGGAAGTTATTCCTGCCTCCCAGCCAGCTGGTTGTTGAAAGAACAAGTTTCTTCCTTCCACCAAAACTGTACGTGTTGTAGTTGTTAACAAGATTCACCATAATTAAGTCACCTTCCTCTAAGTCCACTTCAATTCTTCCATATAACTTACGAAAGGTAGGGAGAGCAGCAGTACGCATCCATACAATGAGATCCTCCTGATCACTTAGCTGATTGATTCCATCAATCCCATTCCAATTGAAGATAAGATCCATGAAAAAGAACACATTAGACAAGAGAATCAATTAGAAGTCAAATCCGTATAGTTGAAAGAGAAGACAAGAAACACAATGTTGAGGTCAAAATTTATGCTTAAATCATCGGATTGAATCTGTAACCAAATTAAGTGCTAAAATTCCAATCCTTAAGAAAGGATTAAAATCAACAAAAGTGATATAAAGACTCGGGTCATGACTGCAACATCACAAGGGCCACATCTAAGAACGAAACCTAGCAAGAACTTTCAAATTCAGTGTTATTATTTTTGTAATATAAATCAAGACACTGCATCAGACAAAACAGAGATGTGAAAACTTTAAAAAAAAGACTCACAACATGCGGACGGGAATCCAGTATAGAGGCATAAGAGCTTTCAATGATCAATATTTGTCCTTAGTAGTGACTCATGTACACGTTCATCCAGGAAAATATTCAAATGTATTAAGAACGATACCTATTTTCCATTGGTCATTTCTTGCCCATCTTCTTTAGTCTTGGGATTCAAGAAGAGATATTGACTCTAAAATGAAATATTGCTCCTAAATTAATATGCCTTGATTTAACAATTTTGTAAGCACTTCCATATGTTTCATTTAACAGAAAAGAATAACCAGAATTGCTGCATCTGTTCTAAGGCCTTACAGGGATGTTAGGGTCCAATGTTGCACCACCAATTAGAGACCCGCTCTGGAAATTGGATGGATAAACGTCTTTCCCATATTTGTGTTCACGATCACTCCTCCAAGCAATATTTTTCCTGTTGACTTTTATAGCATCTGCCCCGTTGAAGAAGGAATACGTGTCATTAAACAAGCTCCATGCAATCAAACCACAAGGAACAATTGGGAGACCATTGTTTTCGCCTTCGGGATTGCAAGAACTTGTATCATTGTACTGTAATCCATGTAAAAGCTGTTTATCACTTCTGCTTTTGACGTACCTGGATTACAAGGCCAAGCTAAGTCAGAAAAGAACAATTAACAGAGATAGATGACAAAATTGACTTCACATGGAGGAAAAAGTGATGACAAATGCAGACAACACTCCAGAAGGAAAAGAGGAATAAATAAAATAGAGAAGAAACAAATGGTACAACTAGTATATAATGTGACAAGAATATGATATAACTGAGAAAAGCATCTATATTACATACATATAAAAATAAAAATAAAAGAGAGAGGAACTTATAAATCTTGATAATCAACTAATTTTAATGCCAGTAGTACCAATCTTCCATGAATTTGTATTACCAGCAAAAATTGGTACTTGAAAAAGAAAAATGAAACAAAGGAGTAAAGAACCTTCACCTTCTGTGGTTCTGGTAATAGTTATCGAGTTGATAGTAGATGTAAATTGGAGCTTTCATATTTTGGGGCACCTGCACAGAGACAATTTCCAAACACAAAACAAATCAATGAAGAGGATAAAGAAAAATTCCAAACTAGAATCTCCAATCATTTAAATTTTTATCACAAATTAAAAAAAAAAGCAAAAGGTTGGTCGTGTTTGCAAAGTAAAGATGGAATGATGTGGTATGCTGTTGGATGAACAATGCGCATTATGGATTGAATGGCACAATGCCAAACATGTTATACCTCAATAACTTTATACCTCGTTAATGCTAGGGTGTTTCTTGACCTTACAAAGGAAAGGTTGCAACAAATGAGAGATGATGGATGGGAATCGTTCATGGATGAAGTCGACTTCATTTGGTGCTAAATATGATATTTTGGTATATTCCTGGAAAGTCAAAGTGTAGACCTTCTAGCGTTACTTATTCACATCCCCTACGTGTTAAGCTTTTCTATGCTGTAAATTGTAATTGATTTGCAACTTTAGGAGCTTAACAAATCGCTTTGATGTCGTGAGTTATAGCTTGTTTGTTAGTATGGCTAGCTTGAATTCGGCTAATTCATTTGCTAATTTTGATATGGAAAGAATAATGACTTTGGCCAAGTATTATCCGGATGAGTATGGAAAATTGAAACTTTGAGATCTCAGTTACCAACTTGACATTTTCATAATGTGCATGCGATGTGGTGACCCTAGGTTCTCTAATTTAAAAGGAATTAGTGATTTGGCAAAAGCGTTGGCTGAGGGAAATCTTGTGGAGACTTATTTACTTGTGAAGTTGACTCTGATTTTACCTGTCGCGACTACAACCATAGAAAGAGCATTCTCATCCATGAAGTACATCGAAGATGAATTACGTAGTACTATTAGTGATGCACTTTTAGATTTTTGTTTAGTTTGTTACTTTGAGAAGGAAGTATTTGCAATTGTAAGCAATGGTGCTATTTTTCACCACTTTCAAAATATGTAAATGTGTCGAGTTCAAGTATGAGTGGATGTTGTACTTTGGTTATATTAGTATCAACTTAATGATATTCGATTATACATAAGTTTGTACTTTGCTACCATTATTATTCATTTTTTTTAAGACTTATACGCCGAACTTTGTCGTTAGTAATTGGCGTACAAAAGATAGTGGTGCCCCCGTTGTGCTCAAATCCCGGGGTCCATCTCTGATAAGATAGGTTGTCGTGACTTTACCAAAGCAAGAACTGTCTCCTTAGATTTTAATAGGTAACTGGAGTTCCATTTACTCATTTATTTAAAATTAACATAATACCTATGAAGCAAGTATGCACTGACATGTGAATGTATGATAATATAAAACGTATATATCACTTGTAAAAATCACTTCTAATTCAGCATTTCTTATGGAAATGTAAGCTTACATTGAAGATCTAGAACAACTGGATCAGATCACCACCACAGTGTAGTTTTAGGTCAAATACAATTTGCCAGCAGTTTTCTGGATATTTTATTACTGAAACTATTTTGTACTATTTGACACCAGTGGTTCCTTTTTTCATTGAATGAAATTGTAAGAGTTTGGGTTATACATGTACATTAGAGGAAAAGGACTACCAACTTTTCCTTATTCCACAAAGAACTTCCATAAATTATACAGTTTCTTCTTTTATTTTCTTGTGGTATGAAAAGCTCTTTCAAAAGGAAAAGAGAGAGAGACCCTTCGGGGTGGCCCAGTGGTTTGGGCTTGGGACTTCCATGTTGGAGGTCTCAAGTTTGAAACCCCTTGCCAGCGAAAGCAAGGGGTTTGCCTTCTGGGTCGAGCTCGTCGCACCGGGCTTACCTAGTGCGGGTTACCTCTCCTATGTGGTTTGCGAGCTATTGCATAGGAGCGGGGGTTTTACCCTGTACGCACCCAAAGGGTAGCGGCTGCGGGTTTCCCTTGTCATAAAAAAAAAAAAAAAAAGGAAAGAGAGAGAGACATTTTTTAAATATGTACTTTATCATCATGCATCAGCTAAGAATGCTGTTATTGATGCCTTTTCAGAATCAACTTTGGTGTTTATCTATCATAGAACCTGATTGCTTAGACAATAATATGCTATTTTTTAATAAATGACAATGTAATGTATTTGGCTATTGTAGTTCCATATTTCTCTACTTTCTAATCCACAATAGTTTGCACTACACACCTTCATAAAATATGGCCTCAACCCTTCCGTAAGAAAACCTCTGATATTACCTTCCGTGATTCTTATTTTAATTTTTAAGTATACATGTATGTGTGTGTATAAAACATATATATGTAAGTATACTTATGTGTATATATGGGATTTTGCTAACCAACTACTTGGTCGAGGTAGGTTAGCATTGTATCCATTTCTTGATTTCCAAATGCCATTACCAATACACTACCACACTGACAGGAGGGCCTTTACTTTTTCTCCACCCAAACATTAAACCCAATCCTCCTTTTCCCTCTTCTCTTTCCACATTTCCCTCTTCAATGGCGACTCCACCAACAACAACATAATATCGGGAAATAGATTGAATACAAAGAACAATTATTAAAACCATCTTGGATGATGGGAATAGCTTTTCATCGTCTTTTCCTGCTTTTTTCCCTATTTGTTTTCTAATTGCATTTGACCTTGGTCAAATTGTTGTTTGAAGAGGTATTGTTATTGGATATTATGCATTCGAATCAGATATGGAAACTGAATTGGGGGTTTCTAGTAACATTTTGACATTTCAAAGAAGCGGAGGAGGCACAAAAGCTTGCTGAGAGTGGAAGTGAATATGAGATTGAAGTTGGAAATGTCAGATAATGGTTACCTCTTCTTGATTATGGATCTTGGTTTTATTTTCTTAGAGTAGCCAAAGCTATCTCTGTTTCTTAAGCTTTCACCATGAATGATGACAAGAAGGAAAAAGAAAAAGAGTGGTGAAAGGGACTTGGGTTTTACTTTTGTGGAAGAACAAAAGAACCCCATCATTATTCTTATTTAATGTGTTATTAGAGGCGAAAATAAAAAAATGGGTGCAGTGCTAACCTACTAGGCTACTACAACCATATAGTAGGTTAGCAAGACTCACATATATGACTGTCAAATGGGTGAGTTGGACTGAATTTAGGTGAGTTGGACAGAATTTGGGTGTGTCAAAACAGGTTGAGTTAATAAATGGGTGTGTTAATGACTCGTACAAAGGTTGCTTGGGCTGAGATGGGCGGGATATAGATGAGCTAAATAATGGGTCATAGCCCAACCAGCCCACTCCTTACCAAGTTTTAGCTTCTTTGTTTGTTTTCTTATAATTTGTTTAATTATCAAACAAAACTCATGTAAAAAATTCTTTTCAAAGTCTTTTTAAAAATATATTTTGACAGTTTCATGGGTCCATTTTGGCTATACATATTTAGCCCAAGAAGCCAAACCAACTATTAGAGGGCCTGAATAAGGCTGGTCAAAACGGACTGAGTTAATAATGGACAGGTCATTATCCTACTCAAACTTGAGTGGGCTGTGATCATGTTTTCATGGGCTACTTTTGTCACCCTACACACACACGCACACACACACACACACATATATATATAGAGAGAGAGAGAGTGCTTTGCTAACCTACTACATGAAGATAGTAGATTGTACCCACTTTTAATTCACTAAAATACCCTGCCACCTGATTAAAATAAGAACTTTCAGGGGCATTTTGGTCCTTTTACCTAAATTCCCTTATTTCTATTTCTCAGTCCTTCCCATCTTTGATTCTCAATTAAACCTCACACTGAAACTTCTTCCACTGCTATATAATATTTCCTCCATTACTTATCCATTTTAACTTCACAATCCAATACACAAAGAACAAACAAATTAAAAAATGAAAAAGCCAGACGTTAATTTTGTGGAATTGGGTTTAGAGCGGGTATCCTTTGGACGTGGGTTTACTGTTAAGCTTCTCATAAAGGAAGAGGAGTTAAAGATGATTTTTGAGTTGGATTTGCCAAGAAATGCATACCCTTGAGTTGAAAGAGTATTGATTTAAATATCTAGGGAAAAAAACAATTTAAGAACTCCATCTACAGTTCATCAAGAAGGAAACTACAATCAGGGAAATGTGTTGAATCTGTAATGAAAAAGTTTGCAGTAAAGCGAAGCAAAATTTGGATATTCCTGAGAAAGAGATGAGTGGAAAATGGGGAGGAAGGAAAATTGGATGGATAGAAAGACTAAAATGCCCCTGACAGCTCTTATTTTAATGAGGTGGCAGGGATATTTTAGTGAATCAAAAAGTGGGTACAATGTTAACCTACCTTCATGCAGTAGGTTAGCAAAACCCATATATGTATACATATCTTCTTTGAAGAGAATCTACGGGTATTCCAGTGTTCAGGGAAGCGTGAAGCGGAAAAAAGCGATAAGGCCCCGCTTCACGCTTTAAGCGATGAAGCGCTCACATACTCATTCTAGTCTGTGAAGCGTAGAAGGCTCGCATCGCTTCATCGCTTTAAGTGATGAAGCGCTCGCTTTCCTGAACACTGGGGTATTCTGTACAGAATTCTCAACACTAAGTTTGAATGGGAGTTATATAAGATTGTATCAAAAATATTATGCCTTTAAGATTAAAAAATTCATATCGAAATTGATTTCTGATGCATAGTAGATTTCATTAGAAGCAGCAGATTACTAATGTTGTCTCAATAGCAAACGAAAAACTGTGTGCTATGTTAAAAAAAGCGAAACAGGGGCTAATACATAAACTGGACGTGGAGAAGGTCTTATAACCAGAGAACTGAAGATTTTTGTATCACCGGGGAAATGGTATATACTCAACATATGAGCCAAAAAATGAGTTTTTCCATAGTGAAAAGTGTTCTGGTTTGTTTTTAAAAAATAATAATTAGTAAATGGTGTCCATCAATGAACTTCAATGAGCAGTCAAAGTATACATCATCATCACTGGATGTACAGAAGAAAGCTTAGATGTAGTGTCATAAAAATCTGACATGGTAATATCTTATGAAGCGAGGAGAATTAATATGTAAAAGAGGCATGCTTGGATGAGAGCTCATAACTCGTAATGAAATATCACCTTTAAGTAACGTGTACAATTCTTGGAAACTGAGGTATCTTTGATGTAAGCAACTTTTTGACTCTTGAAATTATCTGGCACACAATCTATATCATATCTGTCAACAATCTCAATAACCTGCAAATGCTTTTCTGATCAGCCATTTATGCCAAACTTATTGATCAGGAATGGAGGAAACAGATTATGCATTAATCAACAGAGGAGCAAAAGCTTACACTTTCAGAAGCATAAAGACAGAGAAGTCCAATTGGAATAAAAATGACGCCTATCAAGAAAAACATCGAAATGACCTGTTAAGAAAATGTAGTCAGAGAAGTACAACACCCTGTCGATTTAGAAAAGAAATGGGAATTTCAGAGAAAGACTTGTTCTCATTTAATTACCCATGCTGGTGTAAGGACAGGTTTACATGCTGGGAGATTTTGTTGTTTAAACTGATATACAGCTGCAAACGTGAGAATTAAACATGTCAATATTTAGCCTCTACTTCTGTATTTTATAGGTTATGAAGCAAATAGAACTGCATTGCACTCAGCTTGAGAGATAAATGATAATACCGAGAGAAATGAAGAAGTTCAATGGAAAACTGAACTAATCAACTAGATGAGTACCAATTAATATAGAACAAAAGCTTAACTGAAAAAATCATAACTTGATATTTTGATTGAAGATGCATCACTTGTCGCAATGTCACAATCACAATCAATTATATATTTTATAGAGAGATGGCATAATGAGCTCCTCAAATTCACATATTCTCCTCCTTATATGCTTATTTAAAGAAACAAACATACCCAGACTCTAGCGACAATGGCAAGACCTTAAGTAAGTGAAGTACAACTGGAACCTATGTTAGAAGGCTTTTACACTGTTGAGAAAGCTTATTTCCTGTAACTTGATCCAAAATCAGAATTTATAACCAACAGATAGACACCAAACTCTTACTTTGTATGGAAGAGGACACTACATCTCCCTTCATGGAAAGTCACTCTCACATGCTCCTATTTCACTGACCAAAAAAATTACTTTTGTTTATTTACCATTACTGTAGAAATCAAGCAAGTCCTCTGGTAAGACAATGACATTCCATTTTCTTCACCTAACTACTTGTTAAATGTGTCCATACAAGTGTAATTACTTGATTACAAGTTTTTCCTAAGGTGTCTACAAGAGTTGGATAAAGTCCCATAAAAGGTCTTGATAAATACAAGAAGGATGGCATCAGATCACATCCCTAATTCAGATTGATCATACTCTCACAAGTCCTTGCCAGCTCATCTAAGGCTTAACCAAAGAAACCACAATCTCCATCAACGACTAGCACTACCATCGACTCCCCATCACCACATACCAGAAATAACTAATAACTATCCCAAACCACAACCCTACATAATGCTGACGCAACTCAAGAGTTGACATCTATCAACACCACCCAAAATATCACCAGCATAACATCAGCAACACCCACAAAAGAGACATTTCAAGTATTGTGAAAACACAAGAAGTAATTTTCTCTGGTTTAACAATTGGCAGCAGCAATTCCAATTTTCTGATTATTTAGTTCAAATATACTCGTTAAAGAACCTGGCACGTTGAGAGAGAAAATTCTACCCATAAGAGCTTTTTGTTCTCCTTTGTTTTATTGGTTTTAATTTATGATACTCATGACGGAAAGTTGTTCTGATCTATAATATCTTCAAGTTCATACTTAATGTGCACTCTCCACCAATCATAATGAATAAATTTGAGGACTTCCACAGTTTTTCCATTGCTGCGATCTATCACTATTGCTTTTTGCATGTCTTTTGAAAATTAAAGTAGCTGCAAATCTCTTGATTTGTGGCATATCATATTATCTGTTGTATTAGTAGATAAAATCTCTTTCCCATTATGGATTGCAATAGTTTGGCCATCATTGTGGTATGACGGTAGATGCCCGGCACCACATTATTATTAATTATTTCTGCTCTTTGCTTCCATGTCTACCTTTCCTCAAATAGCTTGATTAGTAATTTGACCTATGCTATTCCAACTCACTTAAAACCAAACTCTTCACAGAATTTAACTATCACGGAAAACCTCTCATAGGAATAACAAAATTGATTTGTAGTTTGAACTTACCATCATCCAAATGTCGTTGAACTGGACGTGACTGAGATTCTACAGATTGTGCACCATTTCCTGACAAAGTACTTGATCCCTCCACATCCATTCAATCAAATAATGATAGCAAAGCCCTGTAGAATCTCTACTCAAGAATCTGCAGCTGGAGCAAAAAAATCTACACGTAGTAAATTTTGCATACAAATTTCCACCAATCTAATCTCGAAGACCCATTTGTCTGCTGAGAGAAATCCATAAAGGGTTTGAACTGAAATGAGAAAATTTTGCAAAATCCAAACAAAAATTAATTACACTATAGAGTGAAAAAAAACTGAATTCGTGGAACCCATCTGTATTCTGTTCTATCTAAACTGTGATCCAATCATTCAAGCTGGAACTTCTTAATTTTCACCAAAAAAACAGAAGAAAAGAATCTATCAACTATATTATATTTTGAGCTACAAAATTAAGATTCCAGTTGAATTAAGGTGGCTCTAAAACATAGTAGAAAGAATTAAACATTGAATATTCAAAGAAGATGAGTCAAAATTCTTACCTGTGAATTAGGTTGGGAAAATTGAAGTAGGTAGCAAGTACAATGGTAGATAAATACGATTTCGAATTTATACGGCAAAAAATAGGAGAATGGATGATTGTATATATGAGGGAATGTGAGCTATTGCTTTTGACAGAAGAAAACCACTGTATAGGGTAATACGCATATATACGTTTCGACCAAAGACTTGTCTGCAAGTCTCCCATGAAACCTTCCTTTTTCCTCCGACTATATATTGTTTCTAATAAAATAAAAGGGGTTAAATAAGTCTTTTGTTTTGTTTTTTGCTCCACTTTGGTCAAGAAATGATCAAATCCACTTTAAAATATAATTAAGTAACTCTAGGATCAAATTAACATTTTCAAAACTTCCTAATATTTTATAAGATACAAAAAAACACTTCAGTTTTCAACTTTTATAATTCTATCAAAACCATTTTTTTTTTTTTAAAAAAAGTAAATAAAATTTTCTCTTCTTCTTCTCCCAACGTTCTCTCTTCTTTTCTTCTTCTTCTTCCTTAGAAAATCCGAAAATCCGACTATCAAAACAAATATTCTCTCCCATTATTTTATCTTCCTCCTCATCTCCGACCGTGATTCTCTCCTCTTTCTGAACTGAAGATTGTGTTCGACTTAAAATGGGTAAGTCATTTTTTTTGAAAGATTTTACAATTTTCGAACAATACCAAGTTTTTTTCTTCTGTTAATGAACAATAAATCGTTCTATAGATGTGAAAATTGAATAATGGTGTAATGATACCTATTATTTATTGTTTTTGAAAGAAAATCAACAAATCCAAAAAAGCCCTAATTTTGAGGAAATGTATGTATTGTTAACATTCATTTAAACATCATTTTTTGTTACTTTTGTTGTTCGTTTTTTTGACCATTTTGTTCATATGATTTTAGAAATATAGTCTTGTTCAGTTGTCCAACATATATTTCATTTCTTGAAAGATATGTCGTATGTTACTACATTTTAGTGATATGTTGGTATATATTCCAACAGAGTTGTCATATGTTAGAACATATCACCTATGTGTTAGAGCAACAAAATGGTCATCTGTAGTAACAGAAGATTCATCGGTGGCCACAGAAGATTTATTTGTGGCAACAGAAGGTACATCTGTGGCAACAAAATGTCCATCTATGTCAGCATAAGTATAAATTGCTACCCATTATTATTTTATAATCAATTGTAAACTCTAAACCTTTTTTTATTTACCTTGTAGATCAAATGATACAAGAAGTTTCATCCATGACAACAACTCAATCTTTTATTGGTGTTGCTTCCTCTTCTAACATCAAATGCTTTTTTTGTCTATGCGAAGAATGTGAGCAGCAACATGATTATTTTATTAGTCGTGTTAAAGAACTCACTGATATTTTTAAGGAAATGACTTATAATATTGATGTTCATACATCCAAGAAGATTTCACAGCCTTTGAAGTGTAGGAGATTGAAAAAATATATTTATCAATCACTATCTATAATTAGTAAAAGAAAAACATCAATGACTACTGCTCCAGTATAACACTCAACCCCAAAAGGCAAGGAGAAGAAGGAGGAGAAGGAGGATGAGGAGAAGGAGAAGGAGAAGGAGGAGGAGGAGGATAATGAGATGGAGAAGGAGAAAGAGAAAGTGAAAAAGAAAGCGAAAAAGTAGAAAGTTGAAGTCGTTAGTTGTGATGTGAAGCAACAATATCCATTTGAAGGTTTTAACATTGACAGCGAGGGTCCAACAAACCTAATGTCATCCTTCTCGCAATGGATAAACGAGGGTCTTTACAAGCATCATGCAACAAATTAAAGTCGTTCAACTATTATTACTATTTCTTCTTATTGTCCACTAAATAATTATTTATAATAATTACACAATTGCAGAAGAGACAAGGAAGATCACTACTTAGCCAATTGCTCGAATCTTGAGTTCAAACAACTAGATTTTGTAGTTGCATCTCCAAAGAAGAAGGACTGGTTCTACGTAATGTCTCAACCCAACAGGTGATGGACTGATGAGGTAAATCCATGCCCACTTTTATGTTTTGATTAAGACATGAATACATACAAATAAATTGATTCGAAAAATACACTTGTTAATACATATGTGCAGCATGTGGATGTCATTTTATACTATTTGCAGAAGAAGTCGAAGCAACAGAATCATTCTAAATATCAATATACCACTACTAATTATTTTTTCAAAACATACATTGACAATGCAGTGTTGTTCCTGAAAATGAGTATAGAATCATTAGCACTATCAAAGGGTTTGGTATACCTGGTAGACTGTCTTGGCACCTCACAGATGAGGTTTATGTCCCTGTAAATTGTAATGGGAGAGTTTCATTGGGTCTTGGCAGTCGTTGTATTGAAGGAATGGTGCATAAAGGTGTATGATTCGATGTCCTCATCTAGGACTAATAGAAAATTGTGCTATGAGATTCAAAAATTGTCTACATTGTTGCCAAAGTACCTTGAATTCATCAGAATTTTTGATAAAAAAGACCGAACCAACTGGTCAGTTCTTGAATCTTACCAAGGAAAAAACAAATCTCACATATTCGAAGTCAGACATATTATTGGTATTGCCCAACAAGCAATCAATAGTCTGTAAGTATCACATTATTTTTTTTGTCTTACCACTATTGAAATGTGATGTTATTATATTTTCTAATTGATGATATATCATGCAGAGATTATGGACTTTTTGTTGCTGCATGTGCTGAGTTTTTGAGTGATGGACTACAAGTACCATCTTATGAAATTATTTCTCAAACCCTTCGCATGAGATATGCTTCACTCCTATGGAATTATGAGATTTTAAAGGCTTGGAGTAGCTATGTTAATAACAATGAAGACCCACGGAGGCCTAGACCTAAAAAAGCAAAGTTCGATGAAAATGTTGTGGTTACCACCATTGATTAGATTGATGGTTATGTATACCATTGTGAATTACCTTTTTGTTGATAAGTTGTAAAAAATAATTGGTGAAGTGTTCATTTTCGCTGATAATATTAATATTAATGATTATTATTATTATTTTTATTTTATTGGAACAAATGTCAATTATGATGGAAAGGAAGAAATGTGGTGTCTGTGGCAACATATATAACCTTTGTTGTAAAAAATACCACAGAATTATCTGCATGTGCCGCAACAGAAAGGAGATATGTGGCAACATATGTCAAACAATCGTCCTTCATTTTCTCTCTCTCCTCTATAAAAGGTCGTTTCATATTCCAAATTTAATTTATTTTTACTAATTTTTGTTTTCTTTTCTCTTCTTTCCTTTCATCTCTTGACTCTCGTTCCATTATTCCTTCACATATCTAGTTGTTGTTGCGATATTTTCTACAACATCAGTGGTAATCTGTTGCGATATTTTCTACAACATCAGTAGTAATCTGTTGCCATTCTCTTTTTGAGAAAATCCATGAATTCACAATAAAAAAAAACCACGGAGACGAAAGAAATGAGAAGCACAAACAAGTAAGGAGCAGTCAACTGAAGAGCAGGACTTGGTGTCCTTTGTTGGCTCAAGCTTCAAAAATCCTCATTTGATATATTTGTTGATTGACAAAGATACACCAAAGAAGTACAAGGAGGCATTGTGTTTACTTTGGTTTGTACATAATGTACTTTTGGCCAAAGATGTCAACAACAACATAGCCCTTAAATTTGTGAAGTTATCTGAGGATATTGAAGCTTTCAACAACTATCCTTGGGGTCATGACAACTACGAATTAACTTTCCAATACTTGTTGGCTCCTTTATCTCCAAAGACCAGTAACTTATTTGGCTTTCCATGGGCTTTCATGGTTAACATAAATGTTCTTAATATTTTTATATTTTTTTTGAATAATTCAACATTTGATTTGTGACATGTATTCCTTTATTTATAGACTTAGGCATTTGAAGCCATTCTCATTTGAGGCATCAGGTAACTGAAGAAAAAGAGATTTCATCTCCAAGGATATTGAGATGGTTGAGAGCAAAAAATTTCAAAAATCCTCCAGATCTTTTTAACCCTTCCTATGATGCAATAAGTTCGTTAGTTTTATATAACACTCATATGTTGCAACACATCCCTAATTTGTAGTAACATGTGACCCAAATGTTGCTATAGATGACTCATGTGTTACTACAAATGATCCATCTGTTGCAACATATGACACAAATATTGCTACAAATGTCCATATTGCAAATGTGACTCATTTTTATAATTTTAGGTTGTGCATCTATGGCGTGTCCTAACAGAAAAGGAATTGCAAATGTCATCTCTGATTACTCTAGGGTTGGTTGAAACCTTATTTGATCCTGTAGTGGACAATGTTAAAAGGGAATTTCTTGGAGCCACAACCATCAAAAGAGCAAGACTTGATGATCAGTAGTTAGTTGTTTTTAATTAGGATGATATGGTTGATGCGACTGTAAGGGCTGGTGTTAATATTGATGTTGGTGTTGGTGCTGGTGCTGGTGTTGGTTTTGGTGTAAAAAGTGTTGGGGCTACCTCTTGTAGTCGATGCTCTGGCTTTCTATGTGAAAAGTGCAAGAAACATGATGAAGATTCTATCATGTATCTTCAAACATTGAGTCAGACAGTGAATGAATTTAAAAATAAGAGGGGGGTCAAGGTCATTCCATCAAAGAATGTTCGGGATCCATATACTCCATAGGCCAAGAAGAGAAAAAAATCCTTTATCAAGGCAATACAAAATTTGAAGAAGAAAATATTTGGAGAATTGCCAATGGCCATAGGAGAGAAACTGTTGGAACTCAAGCAAGTGAATCTTTATAAGCGTGTGCCTATAGCTCAAAAGAACAAACTGGTGGAATTGATGAGAGGAAAGGATCTGCGTGTATAATACGACATTTTTTTAGTAGAGATGATTTCAGGACCATGACAAGCATGAATATTTGGTGGGAAGACTGGGTAATTTTTCTCTACTAGTACCTTGAATTTATAATGTTCGTTTGTTTTATCTTTTCAATGATTACTCTTCTTTACTCTTTAATATTATATTTTATTTCAGTATATTGATGAAATTCTTAGCCTCATGCGGGAGAGGCATTTGAGATACGCTGAGTACTATGATTCCACAGATAGAATCCTAGATCTCAACTTTTATACCAACTTCAAAAAAAGGTATGATAGTATCAGCGAGGAGGCAACAACAGTTGGTGGCAGAAGCTTTACACAGTTAATT